CTTTTAACGGCACAGTTATCTTCAAGAATTCATTTGAATGTCTTCCCCATTGAATTTTTATCTGAAATTTGGTATGAGTAAACTAGACTTAATGAATAAGATGCTCAAAAAATTTCATCAAAAAATTCCACCGGGAGCCACCTCAAATGGCACGTCCAGATAGAATCTTCCATATAAGGACTTATTTGACCCCTTTTTTGCAACTTCGAGGACCAAACTGACCCTTATCCCATTATATTTACTTGAGATGCTTATGTAGAAGATCAATATAACTATTTTTTATATAACTTTTTCTTGGCTTCACAAATGGAATATATTTTTACATATTTTTTTTCATGATTCAGCCAGAATTTAATCAATTTCAATAAAATAAGTTAAATCAATTTATTTTAGTATTATCAAACAGGCTCTATATTAGACTAAGTTTATTTTTCTTTTAAATCACATTATATATGATCTAAAAGAAATCAAAATTCAAATTAGCTAAATTACATACTGCCCGTGATGCACGGGGCTTGAAAACTTGTAATAATAAAATAATAATAGAAATAGTAACAGTACTATTACTAGTATGCATCCACAAATGACGATAATATTAAAAAACACACAAATGATTTATAATTCTTAAAATGTTCTCTCAAAGGTTGTAATCTCCAACGGTTACCTGAGAATATTTCTCAAGTTCTTCCACCTTTTCCTTGTCGAGCTTCACGCTTATGCAGCTTGGTGAAATCGACTATAAAATAAAAAAAACCATACAAGAAATTAGACACGTATGCATCCATTATAAATGAGAAGAAAGGTAATGGCAATACAAAGGATGTGTGAATTTATGATTCCTGATTATTACATTTATTTTTCCTTCAAAAGTCTTCAGCTGCTGCAAAAGTTCTTCAAGATTCTCACATTTGTCAGATATATCGCCCTCGACACCTACCATCACCTTAAACTGAAGCCCGGATATAATTACCATGACACAATGAGCACTTGTTCATTAAAATGAAGAAAAAAATTACTATGTCCCAAATTGATTTGCAAATTTGACTTTTTTTGGTCAAACAATTTCGTTTTGTTCACTTAATTAGGATGTCAATTTTTAATTATATTTTAATTTGGAGTTTACAACTTTGAAGAGATTTTAATGTAGTTTATGAATATGTAAAATTTAATTATTAAAAATTGAATTAATTATCCATACGGAGCATTGACTTTTATTATTGATTGACCAAAAAATGTTGACTTTGCAAAACAAATTGGGTCGGAGGGAGTAAAACAAAAGAACTGGGAACCCAAACTCCCCAACCAATCGACTATATACATTTGCTTTCTTTAATAGTGGTGGAGCATCAGTTAAGACTTAAGAGCCGATGACCCCTATTTCTGGCAGATCAACTAGCTTTTTTACCAAACACGTAATTTTTTATTTCGCGCACTGAATTGTGTTATAAGCGGATATAGTAAGGTTGAAGTTACTTTTCTAGCTGTATTAGCTGAAGTTGATGTAGAGGATCATTTTAGCTATTTTTTTGAATTAATTATTTATTTTATTTATTAATAACAAATATTTTAAATATAATTTTTTCAAGAATCGGAAGATTCAGCCTATACAACCACGTCAGCCACATTTTCATAAATTTCAGCAAGAATTAACCAATTCAGTCAATTTTATTGTTACCAAACAGGCTCTAAGTTGTTTTAGTAACAAATTAATAAATAAACACTGGAATGAAGGTATGAAAACTAGATTATAATACCATCACACCATCCATCATATCATTGGTATTTTTGGTCGGGAAAAAAACAAATGATGGTTCCATAAACATTGGTATCTTCTGAGAAAGCTGGGTAAAATTGCTATGCACCTGCAACATGAATAAGTGAAGTAGATGACTGCATAAGTTAACATTACATTATGATGATCATGTGTAAAGATGCAAGAGCAATTTTAAACTGAAAATCAAATAAATTATTTCCACCGATAAAACAACATCCAAAACAAATGTTGTCAATCCCGGATAGTGAAGAATAGCGGATCAGAGCAGCCTACCCCAAAAATGCTATAGTGGATTGCGGGATGACCACTATTATCATAATTATTATGTAAAATAAATACTTTTACATACATTGATACGGATATACTTAGATAAAATACACATACCATATCAACAAAATAAATTTATTACTTTAAATACTAAACTTATTTCCATTATTTAAAATGGAGCCCGATATTCACTGTCAAGCTTGATAAAGGTTATTTCATATTTTCTGGTGGCATTGACAAGCCAGTAGACTCGATACTAAACAAGCACATAGATGACTAAGAAGAATGAAAAGTAGTAAAAAAAAACAGGGTCACTCATCACAAGAAAACAGTCTGGTTTGTCGTGTATGACTGACTGAGTAAGAACGATGTTCTAAAAACACTCTGATAGATGTTAGGTACATAGAAGGATTTTAGAGGAGTAACATTTTATTTAAAATGCCTACTTTACCCCTCCTAAAATTGGAAAATTTCCCAAAAATAGGAGTGGATACATCATATTTCCCTTAAATAACAATACTATATTTTCCTTAAATCATATTGACATTACGAATTATTATGCATTTACAGGCAGCACTTTTCATGTACCTGTCCACAGAAACAGACAAAGCACTACTATCGAGGAAACACACATCGTTTGTACTCCTATATAAGACCATTCTTTTTAAGAGTAATGCTATGTGTACACAGCATTGTACACACCACTACACATCATAAAAAGCCCACCCCTCCCTTTTCTAACTCATTTAACCCCTGCCCTCTCCTCTCTCCTCCATCCCAAAAAAAAATACCAGCCCACTCTTCTCTTCCCCCCCAAAGAAACGTATTCCATCTCTTAACCCCCTTCCCCGTCGAACGGCTTCAGGCGAGCCACTCCATCGCCGCCCCTCTCCATCGAAGTTCATCGGTAGTTCCACCCTCCCGTCCGGTGTGTGCGCAAAGTCCAGAAGTCAGTCGTCGGCCCAATTTTCTTCTCCTTTGAGTCGCCATTCTTCACGCTGAAGTTGTTGGGTTTTGCCTCCGCCGCCACTTCACTCTTTACTGAAAATGGTTCGCACTTCATTGACGGAATTGGCTCAAAGGTAATTGTTTTTTAACCTTGTTTTGAGTTTATTTTGGAGTGAATTTTTGTTTGGAGTGAAACTATATTTTCTCTAGTGTGATTTTTTAGTGTGTGTTCTTACATGTTTGTGGTTTTTCAGATGTCTGTGTAGTGTGTTGTTAAATGTTTTGTGATTTTAAGATGTCTGTGTAGTTAGTTCTTATATGTTTGTGCATATTAGAGTTGTCTGCATGCATTTATTTATGTTTGCTATTGTGCATTTTAGGCCTGTCTTTATTGCATCTGTTCAGATGTGTGTATGACCAAGAATTTGTCAGTTGTGTGGCGTTGTTCACTTGTCTGTGTGGCATTGTTCAGTTGTCTGTGTGGCATTTTGAGCTGTCTGAGTTTGAGAGAGTTGTCTGTTTCCTCTTATATGTGTCTCTATTTTATGGTGTTACTGAGATGTCTGTCTAGTGTGTGTCTTATTTTCCTGAGATGTCTATGTAGTTTGTTATATATGTTTGTGGTTCTTTTCACTTGTCTATATGGTGTTACCGAGATGTCTGTCTAGTGTGTGTCTTATTTTCCTGAGATGTCTGTGTAGTTTGTTATATATGTTTGTGCTTCTTTTCACTTGTCTATATGGTGTTACTGAGATGTCTGTCTAGTGTGTGTCTTATTTTCCCGAGATGTCTGTGTAGTTTGTTATATATGTCTGTGGTTCTTTTCACTTGTCTATATGGTGTTACTGAGATGTCTGTCTAGTGTGTGTCTTATTTTTCTGAGATGTCTGTGTAGTTTGTTATATATGTTTGTGGTTCTTTTCACTTGTCTATATGGTGTTACCGAGATGTCTGTCTAGTGTGTGTCTTATTTTCCTGAGATGTCTGTGTAGTTTGTTATATATGTTTGTGCTTCTTTTCACTTGTCTATATGGTGTTACTGAGATGTCTGTCTAGTGTGTGTCTTATTTTCCCGAGATGTCTGTGTAGTTTGTTATATATGTTTGTGGTTCTTTTCACTTGTCTATATGGTGTTACTGAGATGTCTGTCTAGTGTGTGTCTTATTTTCCTGAGATGTCTGTGTAGTTTGTTATATATGTTTGTGCTTCTTTTCACTTGTCTATATGGTGTTACTGAGATGTCTGTGTAGTGTGTGTCTTATTTTCCTGAGATGTCTGTCTAGTTTGTATTATACGTTTGTGGTTTGTGTCAGTTGTGTATATGGTATTCCAGAGATGTCTGTAACAGATATTGTATGTGTTTTTGGCAGGGGGAGGTGGAATGATGGTGCTCAGTTTTGCGGAGCACCTTATGTTGGATACCCGGTTGCGAGTACGAGAACATGGCGAAGAAGAGGTGTGAATTCGCCAATCGACTGTGGAACTTGAAGAATGATTTACAATGAAATGAAGAATTATGTCCAAGGGTGTAGATTTTTTTGTATATGTAATAATATAAATACAATGGTGCTTACCTTTTTTTTTTTGGCATACACTGGTGCTTACATGAAGTATATTGTGCTTACATGAAGTTTATACATAGACTAATGAATATGTATACACAGACTAATTTATATAAATACAGACATTATTCATCAATACTATACAGACAAACTCCATAAACTTTAAACCAAAATCAAACAACTTACAAATAACAATTGAATATAATAATATTAAATACAGACATTATAAAATGTAATACACACAAAGTACTTGATAACCAATTACTAGAACAAATGAATAAAAGATTATGAAATACAGACATTATTAAATGCAATACAGGCAAGTTCAAACAATGATCAAATAAATTACAAGAACAAATGTATAAAATATTGTTAAAGACACGCATAATTAAATGTAATACAGACAAACAAAATAGTACTACAATGACATTCTAAACACGATGTACGTATGATACTCACATTCTAAAACAAGTCTATGAACTTCATAATGTGTTCCATTCAGCTGAGAAAACTCACAACGAAATAATACATAATTATGGCAACATATTTGTAATTGTATATACGAACACACAATAAATGTCTCCACGCAGACATTTTTTATTTCTCTACATACAAAAATGTCTCCACCAATGTATTTATATTAATTACATATACAAACAAATCTACACCCTTGGACACAATTCTTCATTGTAAATCATTCTTCAAGTTCCACAGTCGATTGGCGAATTCACGCCTCTTCTTCGCCATGTTCTCGTACTCGCAACCGGGTATGAATGAGAGCTCCAACATGAGGTGCTCCGCAAAACTGAGCACCATCATTCCACATCCTCCCTGCCAAAAACACATACAATATCTGTTACAGACATCTCTGGAATACCATATACACAACTGAGAAAAACCACAAACGTATATTACAAACTAGACAGACATCTCAGGAAAATAAGACACACACTACACAGACATCTCAGTAACACCATATAGACAAGTGAAAAGAAGCACAAACATATATAACAAACTACACAGACATCTCAGAAAAATAAGACACACACTAGACAGACATCTCAGTAACACCATATAGACAAGTGAAAAGAACCACAAACATATATAACAAACTACACAGACATCTCGGGAAAATAAGACACACACTACACAGACATCTCAGTAACACCATATAGACAAGTGAAAAGAACCACAAACATATATAACAAACTACACAGACATCTCGGGAAAATAAGACACACACTAGACAGACATCTCAGTAACACCATATAGACAAGTGAAAAGAAGCACAAACATATATAACAAACTACACAGACATCTCAGGAAAATAAGACACACACTAGACAGACATCTCGGTAACACCATATAGACAAGTGAAAAGAACCACAAACATATATAACAAACTACACAGACATCTCAGGAAAATAAGACACACACTAGACAGACATCTCAGTAACACCATAAAATAGAGACACATATAAGAGGAAACAGACAACTCTCTCAAACTCAGACAGCTCAAAATGCCACACAGACAACTGAACAATGCCACACAGACAAGTGAACAACGCCACACAACTGACAAATTCTTGGTCATACACACATCTGAACAGATGCAATAAAGACAGGCCTAAAATGCACAATAGCAAACATAAATAAATGCATGCAGACAACTCTAATATGCACAAACATATAAGAACTAACTACACAGACATCTTAAAATCACAAAACATTTAACAACACACTACACAGACATCTAAAAAACCACAAACATGTAAGAACACACACTAAAAAATCACACTAGAGAAAATATAGTTTCACTCCAAACAAAAATTCACTCCAAAATAAACTCAAAACAAGGTTAAAAAAACAATTACCTTTGAGCCAATTCCGTCAATGAAGTGCGAACCATTTTCAGTAAAGAGTGAAGTGGCGGCGGAGGCAAAACCCAACAACTTCAGCGTGAAGAATGGCGACTCAAAGGAGAAGAAAATTGGGCCGGCGACTGACTTCTGGACTTTGCGCACACATCGGACGGGAGGGTGGAACTACCGATGAACTTCGATGGAGAGGGGCGGCGATGGAGTGGCTCGCCTGAAGCCGTTCGACGGGGAAGGGGGTTAAGAGATGGAATCCGTTTCTTTGGGGGGAAGAGAAAAGAGTGGGCTGGTATTTTTTTGGGATGGAGGAGAGAGGAGAGGGCAGGGGTTAAATGAGTTAGAAAAGGGAGGGGTGGGCTTTTTATGATGTGTAGTGGTGTGTACAATGCTGTGTACACATAGCATTACTCTCTTTTTAAAGATTTAAAAACTCGAATAACCCCAGAACTCAGAAATTGAATGATTTTGCAAATTTGCAAATAGTGTCAGATATTTTTACTACAACCAACTGATCCGCTACAGTGTCTCTCTCTCTGCATCCAGGTGCCACTACGCTGCTATAGCGTGCTATGAAACTCATGGACAAAAAAAAGTGTGGCCACTAAAAGAAAACAAAAAACTAAAGTATGTAGTCTTTGTACTATGCTTATAATTTAATTAGTTTCTAAACATTCTCATGTCCCAGAATCTCAAGTCAAAAGCTAGTAGAATGTCATATTGTCACAGCACTTAACAACATAGCATCCTTTACAGGTTTGACAAAAAGCTAGTCAAAGTCGCGAGGCGCACTTAAGGCGATAGAGTAGTCCCATTGCCTGAGGCGCAAGGTGCACGAAAGTGCTCGCCTGACTCATGTAGGCGCATTGCTTAGAAAATATCACTTGTACTATTATGTACTCCCTCCGTATCAAATTAATTGACCCGCTTTCCTTTTCGGGACGTATCAAAATAAAAGTCTCATTTCCCTTTTTGGAAATAAACCCACCCAAAAAGCAGTTACAGTACTGCTACAGTGCCGCTACAGTACCAAAACCTCCTACTTTACATATATTTGCCTTAAACTACGTGAAAAAGCATATGGGTCAATTAATTTGATACGGAGGGAGTAATTATCAAACATGATACATATAATATCATATTGAACCAACTACATTAACAAGTCATGTTTCTAAGAAATAATTCAAGATTCACCAAATTACATGTCATGCATTTGCATCATTTTCATTAGCCATAATTGTGTTTTTAAGCCCAATCTGTTTTTGCTGATTTGGCAGCTTCAAGACCCATGGCTGAAGTTCCACGTTCACGAAACTATCAATGATTAAATTATATGAAGTGTACATGAATAAATAAATTATATAAGATGAAGAAACAGACTTACACATGATTGACAGTATATAAGAAGTACATGATGAAAAATAAAGATAATAGAAGGATGAAGATGAGAATTACACAAGATAGACTAGTAGTATTAATGTAAATGATTGAGTTGTATAAAGTATATAAGAAGGAGTTGCTCAAAAAGAAAGAAGAAAGAAAATGGAACAATGAAGAGAGTTGCACATGATAGACCCGTATTCGTCATGGCGGTAAGTCGAGTCACGGCGCCACCCTTTTCGCCTAGAGGATAAGGCGCCCACCTAGGCGACTAGTCGTACATTCTATACTCTCTCTGTCCCCTTTTAAATGTCCCGTTTTACCATATTGGGATGTCCCTATTTAATCATTCTTACTGTATTCTTACTTTATCATCCTCTTCCTGGACATTTAAAAGGGGACGGAGGGAGTATAAAATTGTAAGATACTTTACGGTTTACTATGTTTGACTGACGATAAAGCAAATTGATCCCTGTCAACACTCAAATTAGTTTTAGAAAATAAAATTTACATATTCAGAAACTACATTAAATCCGCTACAAAGCCTGCAAAAAATAATTCAAATTTCATAAACTTTTGATATATAAAGTAAAAGATTGAGAGTGATTTATGTTGACCAAGTGAATAGTAAATGTATCTTACAATTTGGGACTGAGGGAGTATTATTTTATGTATAATTATATATAGTCATATTATACTGGCAATTTACGCATATATGAAAAAGATAAAAGAAAGAAAATGGAACAATGAAGACAGTCACACATGATAGACCATTATACTGGCAATTTACGCATATATGTTTGACTTGTATAGAGTTTATAAGTAGTAGATGATGAACAAAGAAAAAAAACAGAAAAAGTGGAACAATGAAGGAGAAGAAAACATACTGTCATTGATCGTAGAGTGCTGCCAGGTAATATATAGGGAGTGTTTGCACTCACTTAAAAAAACACTTCTCAGCTTTTCTCCTTTCTATTACACAAAAAGCACTTATTTTACCAAACACTACAAACTTTTACTTTTCAAAATCACTTTTTTCTCAAACACTATCAACTTTTCCTACTAATCACTTTTTCCTTACATCTCCAAAAGTGCTTTTTTTTAAGGAGAAGCAGTTGCAAACTCTATACAAGTCAAACATATATGCGTAAATCACTTTTTCTCAAACACTATCAATTTTTACATAGTGTTGTTTATGTTGTTTTGACCTATTATTTAGATAATTAGATGGGCTTTATCATATTAAAAATATGAGCTTCTTATTAAAAATAGTCTGACACTGAAATATTGGGCTTAAACGCGTGTTTCCACTTCGGGCGAGAAAAGCGAGCACTTTTTAGTGCTTCGACGCTGCAGCGCCTAACTTGCAAATTACAAAGGGAGCTGCGCCTGGCTGTTGTAAAAAAGCTAGAGCTGGTGTGCGCTGCGCGTGGGGCGCTTAAGCGTCAGGCGCTCGCTTTTGACTACACTGGGTTTGAGATTGTGCGTAGCCAGGATTTTGTTATAGGGGGCCAAGAAGGAACACAAACAATCTTCTTCCTCATTACCCCACTGCCGCAAAGGCTCCCACCTACGGTGGGGTAAGGGGGGTCGGATGTACGCAACCTTACCCTTTTATCAAAGTACAAAGAGACTGTTTCCGGATGAGCCATAGTAAAAACGCATCGAGAATTGCATAGACTAACTGCTGCTTCATAACAAAAGAAAAACGCAGACAGTTTAGTGAGCCATTTTGCTTTACTCCATCACATCCCAAAGCCAAAAAATAGTCAGTCTTTGGCTCCATTGCAAATGATGGAACAAAGGAACACAAACAATAAAGAGAAAATTTTCTAAATAGGACTAAAACAAAAGTAAAGTTCAAAAATAGGATTATTATTGTTTTATTCTCAAAATAGGACTTATTATTCCTGTTTTGGCAAACTTTAATCAAATTATTTTTTATACGACTAAATAAGATCTATTTGAGGAATAAAACATATTTTTGTCCTATATTATACTCCCTCCGTTCTTAAATAAGTAAAACATTCTAAATTTTACACTATTCACATGTTCTACTTTGACTACGTTTAATTAAATAATGTATTAATATATTTTCTTGAAAAAGATATTGTTAAATTTGTATCATTGTAAATTTTCAAAATCTATTTTTTTTTAATTTTTTTACTAATAAAGATTATATATATTAATGGTCAAACTTGTGTCTCGGCAAGTGTGAAATATTGACTGTTTCACTTATTTAAGAACGGAGGAAGTATATGCAATTATTTCATGAGTAATGATCCTGTCAAAACTACTTGGCATGATCTATCTTGTCCGGGTGTCTATACTTGAGGTGCTCCTATGTGGATTTTTTGATGAAATTTTGTGAGAATATTCTTCATGATGTGTAGACTATTTACACCAAATTTCAGTATAAATTTTAATCAGAAAGTCAATGACATAAAGTATTACAAAATTACACCAAAATATATACGGAGTATAAAAAATGCAATGTTATTCCATAATTTATTTAATTGACTTCCCGGTTGCATTTTAAACTGAAATTTTATGAACATAATTTTTACTTCATGAAAATCATGCTTACAAAATTTTTATCAAAAAATCCACACAGAAGCATCTCAAAAGGAGGCTTCTATAGGGTAGTTTTGACCCAATCTGTTCTGATTATTTTATATCTAATACTAGTACTATTAAAAATGAAAATATTGGGGGCCAAGGCCCCTGCACCTATACGTGCCTCCACCCCTCTTAGCTCGATTAGTAGTAGCCTAATTAATATAGGGGAACCTAACAGACACACTGGCACATTTGAATGGCATAAATCTAATGCCTGATTTACTGACTTCAATCACTTCATAAGGAAATATCAGAAAGGCTGGAGAGGGCGATAGAGCTTGTCAATATTGTTTCACAGTTTCAAACTTTTAATCAATGTAGAGGTATGCTCGAAAAAATAAAATCTTAACTATTTAAACTAAACATCATTAATGCATGAGGTTTAAAGTAAGCACACAGATTGAACTCACAATTGAACTGCAGCAAACCCAACGATCAACATTCTCTAATAGACGAGAACAGCACGCTATTGAAAAGGAAGGAACCAAAGCAAACGAAGATCAGACAAAATGTATGACAACAGGTGGTGTGTTTATTAACAATTACGGAGTAAAAAGTATGGTTTATTCAACAAACACTAACCCTCCATGAAGATACGATGAGTAATCTGTCCAAACAGGACTTTCAGCCTATTATCGAAACTAAGCCAGGTCCGAAACTGCTCAACAAGTTCGCCAAACTCTTTCTTAAGCTCACTTTCATCATCGCGCATTACAATCTAAAATATTGCAACCAAGCGTGAAATCTTTTACAACAGCATAGACAAATCAAGTTCTTAGTTTGTTAAGAAAAGATACGAGATTAGCATACCCAAAAAATGACGGCCCGATGATTCTTCTGTTCCTGAGTCGGAAATTCCATATCACCTAATAATTTTTTCAAATTAGGGTACCCTTCTGCCGAAGCATATCCTTCCATTTGAGGAGACAAGCAGAAATTTTTGAAGGAGCCCCTGCCACCGGAAATCGACTGAATAGGAATAGGAAATCTATGTGTGGGTGATAAGGATATCATGGAAACTTGTTAAATTTAAATAACTCTAATGATAAAAATATGAACTAGTGTTGAGAGAAATAGGCTTCATGTAAAGAAATGGTGCGTAGCTTGCATGTTGTTACGTGCATGCAGCATACATATATATATATATTACAATGGATGCATGATGTGAATAATAAAAAGGAATAATGCATGGGCCATACATGACATGTACCCATGTATATATGTTTAGTAATAGAGAAACAATACATGTGAAGGATAGTATTAATAATAAATAATCTCAATACTCCCCCTCAAGGTGGCGTGTGTAGGTTACGAACACCCAACTTGCTTTTGAGAAACTGAAAACGGTCAGTGCCGAGCGCCTTAGTGAAAATATCAGCAATCTGATGTGTTGTAGAAATACAACATGGTTGTATTTCACCACTGGCAACACGTTCGCGAACAAAGTAACAGTCCATTTCTACATGCTTGGTACGTTCATGAAAAACGGGATTAAGTGCAATGTGTCGAGCAGCTTGATTATCGCAGAAGAGTGATGTGGGACCAGTTTGTGGAACAGTTATGTCTCGAAGTAACCATCGTAGCCATAAAATTTCACTAACTGTGACGGCCATGGCACGGTATTCTGCTTCTGCAGAAGAACGTGAAACAACAGACTGTTTCTTCGTCCTCCAAGAGACTGGGGAATTGCCGAGAGTGATAAAATATCCAGTGCTAGATCGACGAGTGTAAGAACATCCTGCCCAGTCAGCATCACAATAACCTTTCAAAGAGAAATCATTATTTGCAGATAAGAAAATTCCTTGACCCGGAGTCTGTTTTAAGTAGCGAAGAATACGTATGGCGGCGTCGAAGTGAGATTGGCGTGGTTGGCTTAGAAATTGGCTAAGCTGACTAACAGAGAACACAATGTCAGGACGAGTCACAGTGAGGTACAACAAACGGCCAATCAAGCATCGATACGAGGAAGCGTCTACTAGTGGGCTATCATCATCAGGCCGAAGTTTCAAGTTCTGTTCCATAGGAAACTGACTGGGACGACTAGCTAGGAGACCACTTTCTTCTAGGATGTCAAGTGTATATTTGCGTTGACTTAGTACAAAACCCTCTGGAGAACGAGCAACCTCGATTCCGAGAAAATATTTTAGTGTCCCCAAGTCTTTGATGCTAAACTGGTCATTCAAGTACCCCTTTATTCCGGTGATATGTGACGCATCATTTCCAGCTAGGATGACATCATCAACATAGATAAGAGCGAAGGTGTGGTTTTCACCTTGTTGAAAAATGAACAAGGAATGATCTGCTCGTGATTGACGAAATCCAACCGTCAGAAGTGATTGAGTAAACTTGTGGTACCAATTACGAGAAGCTTGGCGTAGGCCATAAATGGATTTTTGCAATTTGCAAACACGAGTGTCGCCATCTTTCCTAAATCCTTGGGGAATACTCATGTAAACTTCTTCTGAAAGATCTCCATGGAGAAAGGCATTATTGACATCTAATTGATGTACTTCCCAATTGCGTTTGGCAGCAACCGCCAACAGACATCGTACTGTGACAAGTTTGGCAACTGGAGCAAATGTCTCGTGAAAATCAATTCCTTCGACTTGTGTGAAACCTTTGGCAACCAATCTTGCCTTGTAGCGTTCCACATCACCGTTAGGTTTATATTTTATTTTATAAACCCATTTAGAGTCTACTGCTTTCTTTCCCGGTGGTAGCTGAACCAAGGTCCAGGTACCATTTTCTTCTAAAGCATGGATCTCCTGTTGCATAGCTTGTCGCCACATCGGAACTAATATGGCCTGTGAAAATTGTTTTGGCTCATCACGAGAAGTGATGGCCGCCAGAAAAGCTTTGTGTTTATTAGAAAACCTCTCATAAGTGATAAAATTAGAAATTGGATACATTATTGAGTCGGCTTGATTTGTGGTTGACTGTGAGTGGTCCAAAGAGGGCGGCAGGTCAACATCATATTCGGTGAAGTGCTTAGGCAGTCGCCGAGGTCTGTTACCCCTTCTAATGTCATCCGTAGGTGAAGTTATATCACGTGGGTGACTTCTTAAATCTGGTTCCATAATTTTCTCTCCACTCATTTGTTCATTGGGGCCCAGTGGAAGGTTCACTTGTGTGGGATGCATAGAACGTGAATGAGCTTGAGTATTTGTCTCATGTCCGTCCAAAAAGGTATCTGGAGGGAATTGATCAGTAGGTAAGAATGGATGGGAAGGTGGTCCAACTGAGCCTTCACTATCTCTATCCTTGATGCTGCCTTTTGTAGGATTGTCCACATTCGGATGAGGCTGCTGTTCGGTGGGTGATAAGTGACGAGGAGCTGGTCCCACTTTTATTTCTGTAGCGTTTCTGTGCAAGCTGCTCCTCATGTCAGGGTCATCTGAGTGTCTGCAGACGGGAGTGGAGCCGCAGACCTCTTCAAGATGATTATCTGGCTCCAGGCTAATTAAAGGGAGATGTTCTGGCTGATATATTGCTGCATGGCGGTCATGCGTTCGGCTCGGGTGTTCACCGCTTGGTCTGCTGCGATGATCTCCATGTGAAACCGTACTGCTGCGGCCCACTATTTCTTTGTATACACTGTCAACAATATTTGCAAAATCATGCCCTTCCTGATTTATCATTTTAAATGGGAATTCATTTTCAATAAATGTGACATCTCGAGAGCTATAAATGTTTTGCCTTTGCAAATCAAATACTCTGTAAGCCTTCTGACCATAGGGATAACCAAGAAATACACAAGGACTCCCCCTTTCGCCAAATTTATCCTTGCGTTTGTTGTCGTGTGCATACACCAGACACCCAAAGACGCGAAGATGTTCATAGCTAGGTTCCTTCCCAAATAATATTTCATAGGGACTTTTGTTTAGAATAACAGGCGAAGGTAGCCTATTGATAATATAAACGGCAGTAAGAATGCATTCCCCCCAAAAATCAATAGGCAATCCTGATTGAAAACGGAGAGCCCTAGCAACTTCTAATATATGTCTGTGCTTACGCTCCACAACCCCATTTTGTTGGGGGGTGTCTGTGCACGATGTTTCCAAAATAATTCCACACCGGCCATAAAATTCAGATAAAATGTTGGTTTGAAATTCCATTCCATTATCTGAACGTATCCGTTTAACTCGCTTCTCAAATTGAGTTTCTATCATATTACAAAATTGCATCAGTTTTTGACATACTTCAGACTTATTTTTCATGAGGTAAACCCAAACACCTCTTGAAAAATCATCAACAATGGACAAGAAATAGCGTGCTCCTGAAGTAGAGTCACACCTATAGCTTCCCCATATATCACAGTGTATTAATTCAAAACAACATGTACTTTTACTTGTACTATTGGGGAAGGGCAATCGAGTCTGTTTGGCTCGTAAGCAGGGATCACAAAAGCTACTATTCTGCTGTAAACCTTTGAGAAATGAAATGTGTTGTAATTTTCCATTTGAGGCATGTCCCAGACGCCGGTGCCATAAATTAGAATCAAGAGTAGCTCCCATTGCTACCCTTTCACTTATTGGTAATTCTAGGTAGTAAAGACCGTTATAAAATCCACCCTTGCCAATTAGTTTTCTCGAGGGTAAATCTTGAAAGATACAGAAATCTGAGAAAAATGTGAGTGTGCAATTTAGGTCACCTGTGAGGCGACTAGCGGAGAGCAAGTTGCATTGAAACTGTGGGACAAAAAGAACACGACGAAGATGGAATCCATTAGACAGGTACAAGCTACCAACTGCAGAAACTGGAACTAACTCCCCATTGGGAATTCTCACTGCTTGTTCAGATGAGTGAGTAGAAACATTGAAAAGATTCGTACTATCACAAGTGATATGTTCACTTGCTCCAGAATCAATAATCCAGGTACGTGTGTGGGGCGGCATTCCCGTCATGTTGATATGAGAAAAAAAATGAAATATCTCAGAAGTAACTAATATCGTGATTTCCAGGATTTAGCTCTGATACCATGTTAAATTTAAATAACTCTAATGATAAAAATATGAACTAGTGTTGAGAGAAATAGGCTTCATGTAAAGAAATGGTGCGTAGCTTGCATGTTGTTACGTGCATGCAGCATACATATATATATATTACAATGGATGCATGATGTGAATAATAAAAAGGAATAATGCATGGGCCATACATGACATGTACCCATGTATATATGTTTAGTAATAGAGAAACAATACATGTGAAGGATAGTATTAATAATAAATAATCTCAATAAAACTTGATTCCTTGGCGGCGGAAATGATGAACCAGAATTTTTTGAAGAAAGGTGAAGGGTCCAGAATTTGGGTGAGAAAATTGCCATTAAAACTTGAAAAGGTATTTGCAAGTTGCTAGGGATTTTACGAGGGAGAAGGCGAGAAGGTTCAAGCTTGCGAAGTCCAAGACCATCGCCAATCCTAGGATCCTAGGATGTCAACATTAAAAAAATTGGCTATGTAATCGTTGTTTAACATTGGAATAAAATAACAAAAAAACTAGTACCCACTATTGTACTCACTTTTGTACCCACTATGTTTGAGGAGTTCTTTTTTTGTCTGCTAATCCCGCTCATAGACAAAAATATGTCTATGAAGAAATGGTGAGTACAAAAATAGATACAATAGTGGGTACAAGAAGAAGGGTTGATAAAAAAAATGGCCTCCAACGCAAGATGTAAAACTCCATGTTAGGATGACATGTGAGAAAATAGTTTTGACATTGTTGACATCAGTCTTCCTATGACAGTGCTGCTATTAAGTATTAACATGCTGATTCATCATTTTGGTTAATAAACGCATGTAACTGAACACTTCTATTGCCCTTAAAAAACTCTACCCACTACCCACGATCTATATTAGGGGTGGGATCGGGATGATCCCGATCCCGATTGCCCAAATCCTGATCCCGTCCCGATCCCGATTCAAACTACAAGAGGATCCCGTATCCCGTCCCGATTAAGTCGGGATCCCGACATTAAAATCCTGATTAAGTTGGGATCCCGATCGGGAATCCCGCTTAATCCCGACCATGAAGTATCAAACATAAAATTATGTAATTTCTTTAGTTAAACACTAACTTTGATATTTAGCGACTTCAAAATTATTCTTT